CCCCCCACCTTCCCGCCCCCGCGCTGAGTCTCAGCTGGGACCTCAAGCACATCATTCATTCTTCTGTGGTGTTTTGCCCTTGCCCAAGCTCTTGGAAGACTCTGTGGGCTCTGTGTTTTGAAGCTTGTTGAAATTTGCAGACCTGACGGTACACGGTATGAGGCCACAAGGGGGCAACAGTGGGCCATGGATGGCCTTGTCTTTCCAAAGGGGTGGTTTCTTCCTCCCTTGAGGATCTGCCTGCCAATCACCCAGCATCATGACACTGCCTAGCAGACTCCATGCCCGGCCAAACAATTTGGAAGGACAAACTGGAGGATATCCAAGGACCTGGGTCCAGTCTGCCTGCCACCCACAACTGTCTTGGCTGTGCATCCCTGGGCAGGTGTCCCCCTGCTCAAGTGCTTCAGTTTCCCCATATGTGAAGTGGAAACAGTGACACCAATCATGGAGGCCTGTCCTTCCTTCAAAGGGCTGGTTATGGGATCCACTGAATCACCCAGGTAGAGGGAGAAGCGGATTAACTGTAGCATCCAGCCGAATTGTAAAGTTTTGCTGGCGCTCCCAAGGATGCCCGGACACCCAGTGATCTCCATCAGCCCTCAGAGCCCCACTTTGTTTCTGTCCCCTTCCACACTACCAGCTTCCCCAGTGAGCCACACGATTGGCCAGCCAGCAGCACGGCCCGCCACTTACTGCCAACAACTTAGGGAGACAGAGCTGGGGAGTTGATACTTTCCTCCTCCCTAGCAGCGTGTGGCTGGGCCTCTTCTGCATAGTGAGGAAGCCACGTAGCGTGACCTGGGCAGACTCCCCATACTGGGGTTTCCTCAGTGTTACCCCTCGGAAACAGAAGACCTGAGATACCATCACTGCAGGCCTGTTCTTGTCCGTACTACCCTGGATGTGCTTGGTTTTGTCATCTGTGAAATGGGCATCCTCACTGGGTTCCTCCCCCAGGGTTGTTATGAGGACCAGCTGCAATGAGGGAAATACAAACATCCTGCAAGACTGTGGCCCTGGCTTGGTCTTAGAGTGGAGAAAAGAGAAGGGATTCCGAACCAAAAACGCTTCCTGGTGCCTGACCTGTCCTAGGGGTAAGCATTGCTGTCCCATTTTCCAGAGGAGGTGGCGGATTTGAATTTTCTAAGATGGCTGCCACGAGATCTACTATCCCACGTTTTCTCCTTAAAGATGATGTTGGCACTTTCCCCTTGAATGAGGGTGAGCCTCTGATTCTGGCAGGAAGTGACACCATCTGATTTCTGAGGCCTGGCTGTAAACGGTGTCACAGCTTGCTGCCTGGTCCACCTGGCTCATGCACCGTGGGGATCCAGCAGCTGTGCTGGGAGGAAGCCCAGACCACACAGAGAGGTGTCCTGGCTCTCTGAGGTCCCAGGTAACGGCCAGCATGGGCCACCATGCGTAGGAGAGCTTGAGTGACAGCTACACAGCTGAGCCTATCACCCCTAGAACCGTAAGAAAGAAACATTGCTGTTTTAAGGTAAGCTTTAGGGTGATCTGTCATGTAACAGTCATTGGCTGTTGGATCGGAGGAGAGTATAGGGAGTCCGTGACATGATGACTGGATGGAGGGCTCAGCCGGTACGTAGCCGGCCAGGCCTTGAGTCTGTCTTTCTAACACCAAACCCTTTCTTTGCCCTGACCCTGAACAGCTTCCTCTGGTTTCTGGGGGGGAAGCGGGGGCTCTGACCCAGGAATTGTCCCTTGTACCTGCCCAGCCAGCAAAGGCCAGGCTGAAACCTTGCCAAGAGGTGCTCAGGGGCAGTCTGCAAGGACAGGCACACCCAGACACACACTGTGGTTTATTACACGCAGCGATAACCGTCTATACAGAGAAAGGAGGCAAGCATCTGGACTGGGGATGACAGCTGGGAGCCCCTGTCAGAGGTGGGGGAGCCTCTCCTCAGAGCACGGTGGCTGGGGTTGCAGACCCCCTGCTCGGGCTGGCCAGGAATCCACCCACGCCTTCTTCTTCTGCACAGCTCATCCGAAGGACCATTTCTGGCAGGCTGACCGGAGCTCTCCCGGGTGGGAGAGTTGGGGCAAGAGGAGACCCCAACTCTGAGCTGCGGGCCAGTCTCCTTGGGCTGGCAAAGTCCCATCATGACCCTCTTCTGGGTGCAGCAGCCACTCCAGTCTGGGACCCGCCGTCCTCCACACTCGAGGATCGAGAGGCTCCTTGCAGCTGGGTCCACGGGTGGTGGTCTCCTCCGGGCCAGAGGGCACGTGTTCTCATGGCAGGCTAGCTTCCTGAGGCCCACTGAGCTTGGTGGGAGTGGGGGCGCAGTGTGCTCCCCAAAGCTCGCAGCATCCAGCTGCAAGTGCCGGGCAGAAATCTTGTCCTGTCCCGGTGAAGCCAAGGCCCAGAGGGGCCCCAAGGGGCGGGCAGCTGGCTGTGGCCAAGTCCAGAGGCCAGAGAAGCTGGGGCAGCTGCGTTTGTCATCCAAGCCCCGGACCTTTCTGGATGGGGTGGGCCCCAGGGCTCCAGAACCTCAGGAGACAGTCTCTCTGCTAATCAGGTGGCTGAGGGCCCAACCCAGCATCTCTGCAGCCCCTCCTGAGCCAGGCACTTTCACCTTCGTCTCCTTCCCGGGAGAGCCAAGTCCCACGGCTGCCCCTTGGGTACACAATTACCCTGGACCGGCCCGTCCCCTTTCCTGCCAGCTCCACGTGCTGATTGTTCCAGGGCTGGGCCAGGCCATGCACTTAAATGCGACAAGGCCGCAGGTGGTGCATCCCGTGAAAAAAAGATCAATATATTACTGTTCTGTTTTTACAAAAATTAAAAACGTCCACACGCATCTGTACAGGTTGTGAGCTGGGTGCGGGGGTCACTGGAAGAGGAGGGAGAGACTGAAGGTGAGGAGGGAGGCCCTGCCCTGATCTGAGCACTCTGTCCTGCCCATTTCTTCTAGAACGGGCACGCCCCCAATCCTCTCATGCCCGGCTCTTGGCTTTCACCCCCTCTCAGTGGGGCAGTTTGGGCAAAGTCCCAGGGGGGTGCAGATGGCTTTGCGCTGGCTGGGCCAGGTGCTGGGCGAGCCCCGACTGACCGACAGGGTGGACTAGTCACCCGGGACCACAGCCCCAAGCCTGGGGCCACACGATGGGAGAGTCAGAGCTGGGGCCGTGTCATCCCAGGGAAACCTGGCTATTGAGTCACTGTGTGGGGGACCGCAGACACCCAGCCCCTGGGGTCTCCCCCACCCCCACCGCCGCCCTCCTCACAGCTTGTCCTAGAGACTCCTCCCTGCAAGGTACCTTATGCCAGCAGCCAGGCACGGGCAGCCCATCAGGGCCCTGGAAAAGAAAAACGTTTCAGTGGGGATGGGGGTAGGGGACTTGATCAGCTCCCTACACTCTGTACACCCTTGCCCCGTGTGTAGGGAGGCAGAGCTGAGGGAGCTGCCACACGAGGCCACTGGACCCCACTGAGGCAGGGCCCGAACGCCTGTCCACCTGGGTAGTCGGGTCACAAGACATGAGGGCCTCTCACTGGGCTTGTCCCGAGTGCGCCCCCATGGGGCTTGGTTTGTTGGGACACTAGAGCAGGGACAGAACCAGGGGACTGTGGAGTATCAGGTACTGTGCTGGAATCTGCCGGCCAGGAGATACCGAGGGGCTTCATGGCTTCCTGCCCGCAGCCATGATGGTGGCTCTGGCCCCTTACACTGGGGGGGCCTGAGAGCTCTCAGGAGTTTCTCCAAGAGTGTTTTGAAGGGCAGTCCAGGAAGCGGGATCCCCCTCTGGCCTGTCCTGGTCCTTGTGTCTGGATCTGGGTGGCAGGGCAGAATGAGGCTGTCAGGGTAGAAACCGGGGTGGGGAATGGGGATTGTCTGGGGGGTGCCAGCATGCTGATGCCAGCCCAGCACTCAGACACAAGGTGGGGTGGGGAAGGTTTCTAGGGCGGCCTGGAGGGTAAGGGAGCTGGGGAGGGACCCATCAGGCAGCCTAGAGTCCTTGGGGAACCCCGGGGGGAAAATTCTTCATTCCAGAGGCACACACGGGAACACATTCCATGGAGCTGCCAGATATCTACCAGGGTCACGGGCTGGGGCCCACAGGGAAGTGGGGGGGAGGGGCAGGAAGGAAAGGAAGGCAGGAGAGAGGAGGGGGTAGAACAGTGGGCACAGGTGCCCGGAATGCACAGCACAGCACACAGCAGGCCAGACCGCATACCACAGGGCAGGGCCCGCTGCCCCTCACCAGGCCCCTGGAGCCCGGTGCCCCTCGCTGGCCTCCACATTTAAGGTTCTCCTGTTTCAAAGACAAAGGCTGAATGACCCGGAGGGAAGTCTTGGCCCCGGGCCTGGAGTTGCGAGGCTGGGCCACCACGTCTCTCCTCTGTCCCTGCACTTTTTGAATACGGTCACCACCCTCCTATTTCAGTGACTCCCCAAGACCACCTAGTGGCCCTAGAGGCAGGGCCTAGTACCCCCACTGCTTGGATGAGGAGACTGAGGAACCAGAGGGCTGGTGTGACTCATGGGCAGTCAGAGGACTGGGCATCTGGGGTCCCTCACCCTGATCCCCCTTTGAAAGGCAGCCAGCACCCCTCATGGCCGGGTGGCCAGGTATGAACATCTGCTCAGTCTTAGTGTGGAAGGTCCCTGTTTTCCCTTTCCTGTCTTTTGTGAGCTCCATGGAAGAGTGTGACGTGTGGACCCTCCCAGCCTTCCGGGGAGGGGAGTGAACTGTGGTAATTTCTGGCCTGCAGTCCAGTGGGCCTCAGGGGCTGATGTGAGACAGAAGGAAAGGAGGAAGGTGTGGGGAGCAGGGAGGGACTTTGGGGCATGCAGAGGGGGTGCAGGGGCCGCATGGGGCCACCCATACCAGCAAGGGACACCCACCCAGAGAGGTGAGGGTGTCCTAATCCTCTGTAGCGCCAAGGAAGCTGAAAAGAGATGGGCAGTGACCCTGGCAAACACTGAGGGGGTGGGTCCCCCTGAGGCACGCTCAGGGTGGGGAGTCAGGACCAGAATGAGAGAGGTGCCTCCATGATGGCAGTGACAGCTGCGGTGGTCTCTGTGGCTTGCGAGTGAGCTCTGAGGACAGGGAAGACGTTGGCCTGACCCTGGCCTGAGGCGGCAAAGACCTGGGTTGGGGCTCCCGTTCTGCCCCGACACGTACCACGGGACACGGCTGGTCCAGGCCTGGCGGTCCCGGCTCACCCTTCTGGCCCTTCACACCTTTCCGGCCCGGGACTCCTCGCTCCCCCTGCACAAGGAAGGAGATGGGTGTGTGGCCAAGGCTGCCAGGTTCAGGACCCCTCCTCCGCCTCTCAGAGGGATGGGCCTCCAGCTGGCAGCCACCCCTGCCCTGCTGCGCCCCCATCCCAGCCTCCACCGACCCCCACCTTCTCTCCACGTTCGCTCCGGTCACCTTTCTCTCCTCGGGGTCCAGGGAAACCCTGGAAAAAGGAATAAAATGAGGTTTGAGGTTTGGTCCTGTATCTGTTCATCTCTGTGCCTCCATCACTGCCCCTTCCCCATGCAAATTTGTGGTACCCGCTGGCCCCACTCAACTCCTCGGTGACACGTATGTTCGGCACGAGGCTGATTTCAAGAAAAGCATACATTCAGGACGCTAGCACTGCTTCCTCCAAAAGAGAACACTGGCGGTGTCTCTGGACAGAAGCCCTCAGGCAGAGGGCTTTCTCTCGCACGTCACTGTCACATGCTGCTGGCACTGGCCCTAGCTTGGCTAGGGACAGAGACCCAGGAAACTTGTGGAAGTTTATGTCACTATCTTTGGTGGACTCAGAAATGGTGACCTTTCTTGAGCCTTTGGCTTAATCTCTTACCCACCTCTACCCACCCATTCATCCATCTGTCCATCCACCCATGCAACCAACATTTTTAAAAAACTTTTTTTTTTAATTTTTTTTTAATGTTTATTTTTGAGACAGAGAGAGACAGAGCATGAATGGGGGAGGGTCAGAGAGAGAGGGAGACACAGAATCGGAAGCAGGCTCCAGGCAAAAACTTTTTAAAAGTTGTTATTTATTTTGAGAAAGAGCATGGGCAGGGGAAGGGCAGAGAAAGAGGCAGAGAGAGAATCCCAAGCAGGTTCCACACTGTCAGTGTGGAGCCCGATGTGGGGCTCGAACTCACGAACTGTGAGATTATGACCTGAGCCGAAACCAAGAGTCAGACGCTTAACCAACTGAGCCACCCATGTGCCCCTGCAATCGACATTTCTAAGCATCCACTAGGAACTGGGCTGTGGGCTGGATACTGAGGACAGAGAAACAGATTTGATGTGCCCCCCCTCCCCCTTTATTTTCTGTGTCTTATGATTTGACATCTTAAAAATTTTGCTGGCTAGGAAGAGGCTGCCCCTCCCTCATGTTGAGTTTTGGAAACAGCAAAGGGCTGGTGTGGGGCACACCTTTTATATGTAAACCGAAAATCCCGAAATCACTCCCTTTATCTGCCTCTCACACAGCAAGCTGAAATCATCCCAAGGCCCAAAATCATCCCAAGGGCAGGTAGCAGGAAACTAGGGACCACCCCTACAGCCCGGAGCCTGCCCAGAATATTCATACTAACTAATCCTCAAGTGTCTCTCCTGCTCTGTCTTGCCTCTCCCAAGGAAGCGCCATTAAAAGCTCTGGCTTAAGCTGCCCCCCACTCCCTTCTACCTCTGGATCAAACCTGGTGCTTCCCCATGTGGCCCTGCCTAGTGAGTGAGCCCTTCCCCCGGGAAACAAAAGTGACATATTTTTCTTCCAATGGCATTGGCCAAACTGTGTCCTCAGTCACCTCCACAAATTAAAACCCTGCAGTTACAAACGTGACACTTCCCTCACGGTCTAACATGGCAGGCAAGAGGATATAGAAGATGATGGTCTATGCTCAGTGACACAGGATGAACCAGATGCCATGAGGTCCGAGGGAGAGGGGCTGTTCTATCCAGGTGTGAGGTCAGGGAAGGCTTCTGAGCACACTCCCCATGTCTGCTGGGCCTGGTGGAGTGGGCGCAGGGCCAGAGGCTTGCCAGGTAGAGCCGGTGGGCTCTGAGCTCAGCTCCAGGCCTCCCAGAAGGCAGCCGTGGCCACACCGCTGGTGGCCCAGTCTCTTTAGCTCCACTACCTCCCTGACAGAGCCTGAACTGGATTCAGCATTGGTGTCTTCTCTGGACCCTTTACATGGATGGAGCATCATCTTCCCAATCAGAAATTCTGTGTCTACACTTGCTCTCCCAGGTGACATTCTCTCCTTAAAGCCTAGGGTGGACACCAGAGTCCGTGCCGCCCTACATCTGGTCACCATTGCCCTTGCAAGAGCCACCTGATTTTCCTGGGAGCCACCCTCCCTTCTTATAACCCACTGACTCCACTCCCAGCTCCAGGAGGGAGGATGTGACCAGGGCTGGCCAATCAGGGCACTGCATTTCTCACAGCAAGTCATGTTTCAGCATTGACCCAACTGGGGCCAGAGAGAGGTGATGAGACTTTTCTAAAAGAATACAGAGTGAGGCAAATGGTCTTTCTCCAGGGTTTGGGGCTATTTCCTCCACCTCATTACCACATGTAACTTGAAATGACACCCCAACAGAGAAAGCACAGACGGGAGGACGAGAGGGTGGGTTGTGTGGATCCACACACTGTCCCTCTGGATTTTTTTAAATTTTAGAGAGACAGTGTGCACAAGTGGGGGCGAGGGGCAGAGGGAGAAAGAGAGACACAGAGAATTCCAAGCAGGCTCCATGCTCAGTGTGGAGCCCCAGGTGGGGCTTGATCCCACGACCCTGGGATCATGACCTGAGCCGAGATCAAGAGTCAGACACACAACTGACTGAGCCATGCAGGCACCCTTGGATTTTTCAGTTAGTAATCAGTTTAAGCCAGTTAAATATTTTTAAATGTTTATTTTTGAGAGACAGAATGCAAGCAGGGGAGGGGCAGAAAGAGAGAGGGAGACACAGAAGCTGAAGGAGGCTCTAGGCTCAGAGCTGTCAGCACAGAGCCTGACATGGGGCTCGAACTCACGGACCGTGAGATCATGACCTGAGCCGAAGTCGGACACTTAACTGAGCCACCCAGGCACCCCAGTGTAAGCCAGTTTAAACTGTTTTCTGTTGTTGGCCACTCAAAGATCCAATCAACCTCGAGCTAATACTTCCTCTCCTCTTCTTCCCTCAGTAATGTCTAGCTGAAGCTTCAGCATCTCTCACTAGGATATTGCAACAGTGCAATTTTAAAATGACACAGAATGACACAGGATGACACAGAATCCAAAGCAGGCTCCAGGCTGTCAGCACAGAGCCTGATGCAGGACTTGAACCCACAAACTGCAAGATCATGACCTGAGCTGAAGTCGAAAGCTCAACAGACTGAGCCACTCAGGTGCCCCAATGCATCATCCTTCTATCCATTTATCTATCACCCATCCATCCATCATCCATATATCCAACATCCATCCACCTATCACCCATCCATCTGTCCATCTGTCCATCCACTATCATCCATATATCCATCATCGATTCATCGGTCCATCCACCCATCATCCACCCATCAAGTACCTACTCTGGGCTATGAATTAGACTTGGCATTGAGGACACAGGGGGAACTTGGAGTTTCAACCCTGGAGAAGGGGGTCACATCCAAGTCGCAGATCAGGTGACTGTATGGCCAGCACGGGGTCAGAAGCTACACACAAGAAGAGCCTGATCACAGGGAATGATGAGATACTTACATCCAGGCCCGGCTCCCCGGGTCTTCCCTGAGGAAAGACAAAGAAAGATGTGAGGGGGCTGGGGAGGGGGTACCGGGAGCAATAATGGCTGGGATGTGCAGCCTTGTGAATTGTCCTCAAGCCCGATTTCTGGCCCCGGGACAGTGTGGTGTCAGGGGTTGAGCCACCAAGGCCGAGCGACACAACAAACATGTGGCCATACTTGGGGGGGCGTTAAAGGAGGGTGGTTACCTTCTCTCCTTTGGTTCCTGGCAGTCCAATAAGGCCCGGCGGGCCAGCTGGCCCCTGGGTGGAAAAGGAATGGGTCAAGAAGCATGACAGTTATAGGAATTAGCAGCCTGGAAGGATGGACAAGGCTCATGACACTCACAGGCAGGCCGCTGGGGCCTCTCTCCCCTGACACGCCCTTCTCTCCCTTTGCTCCGTCCAAGCCCTGCAAGCCAAGAGGAGACAGCAGTCAGTGGGGAGGGGTCAGACAGACAGCAGGACAGGAAAGCTTGGGGCCTCAGTGACAGGCGGGGATGCAGGGCAGAGGGACAGACTCCAGGCTCTCAGGGACTTGACCCCAGCTTCCTTCCAGTGCACATAATCGGAATGAACTATGAGTGTGTGCACTTTACCTTCCCCACCCATGGGTCATCACAGGAGATTGTTGCGGTCACACCCATTTCACAGATGAGAAAAGAGAGGCAAGAGAGAGGGGCAGGGACGGGCGCAGCCACACAGCCAAGAAGCAGCAGAGCTGAGGACCAGTCGGGTTTCTGAGCCCCAGCCTTGGACCTTGTCCCTAACAGAAGCTGCCTCTTCTAAACACGATCTGGGGAGGCCCTTGGGACAAAACAGAACCAGAAGCAGCCCATCTGGTCAGCCACATGCTTGGCCCCACTCAGCTGGTGGGAATCATGACCAAGTCCTGCCGGCCTCTGGGCTGGGGGAATGGAGAGGTAGTCTCTCCCCCAGGGTGCATGAGAGAGAAGCCAGGCATGGCAAACAGGGAGGCCAGCTGGCCTCCTCCAGGCAGGGCACGTGGGCAGGCCACATTCACGGTTTTAATTTAAGAGCAGAGGACATGAAATTATGTAATACACACGACGCCCAAGACTTCATGTCCAGGCTGGGGGCAGTTAAGACGGATGTGTGCATGAGGCAGCAGACTAGTGCTTGGGCAGGGGGACAGAGCCCCAGTGGGGGGCAGGGGACGCTGGCTCCAAGGATATCAGGGAGGTTGTACTCCAGGGGATTCTGAACATTCAGGCCCTGGGATAATGCGGAGCTGGTCTGGAGCCCAGTGTGGGGCCCTCGCTGCCCATTAGCAAGGCTTTCTGGAACTGTCCAGGCTGTGGGTCTGAAGTGAGTAGGGGGGTTTCCACCCATGCCCCACAACTCACCTTGGGACCCTGGATTCCCTGAAGGCCCTGGAGGAGGAGAGAGCAAATCAGAAAGGCCATCGGGCTGGGTCCAGTGCTCGGAGCCAGGTTCTTCTTACAGTGGGTCGCAAAGGCTCATGGGCCACTCACTGGCCTCCATGGCCCTGACCTCTGTGGCCTCCCAAGCCCAGACCCAGGCTCTGCCATATTGCTTGATGTGGCCCCTTCCCCACCGAGAAATCCCATCATCCCCTGGGCCACAGCTCTAGGCCTGGGCTCACCACCCTCTGCATGTCCCAGCTACTTTAAGCCAAATGTTCTTACCATGGGGCCTGGGGGACCAGGGGGGCCTGGGGGCCCTGGCTCCACTATGATCTGAGCCTAGGAAGCAGTCAGAGGTGGATTAGTCACCACCACCCCTCTCCCCGTCATATGTCACCCACCCATACTTGAACACATTGGATGAGCACTCCTGGGGGGTGCTGGGCCCTGAGCCACTGGGACGAGTCTCCTTCCTGCCCCCAGAAGGGCACACTGCCTAGTGGGGAGCCCAGGGGCTGGCCTTTGGGTTCTCAGAGGGGCCTCAGTTGGAGGACACAGCCGAGGCTCCCCCTCCCCCTCCCTCGCTGCCCTTTGGTTGGCTCAGGCCAGGTGGCCTTTCTGTCCCAAGGTTTGGGGCTGCAGCCGGTCTAAGCTAGGACCCTGGTCCTCAACAGCCCCCTTACCAGGCTCTCCCGTAGGTTGTCAGATGCCGACTCTCCCTTCTCCCCCTTGGGGCCGTCGGCGCCCTGCAGGACAGGATGGCCTTCAGCCCTTTCCGTCCATCATCAAAATCCCCACCATGGTGGTCAGCACTTCCCCTGCCTTCCCCATGAGGCCTCCAGCCTCAGCGGTGAGTTGGCCTTTGTAGCTTGAAGTATTTTCCCTGAATCAGTGACACGTTCCGGGTGCCCAGCACAGGGGGTTTGGGGAGAGCACATTGATAGTGGTATAAATTGTGGGCTCTGGAAGCAAAGACCCGGGTTCAAACCTGGTACCACCTCTCTAGCTGAGGGAGCCTCATGGATGGACACCAGACGTGAAGAGGTGGCATCTGGGGGCTGCTTGAACCCCACACTCTTCCGGTCCAGCCACTATGATGGTGATAGTGGGCATTTATCACCCGCCAGCCACCCTTCTCAGGCCTGTTGTGCATGCCCTCACAAGTGGGAGATTATCACCCCCATTTTGGAGGTGAGGAAATGGAGGCCCAGGGGGCTTAGGATGCTCGTGCAGGGTTCCAGAGTCAGCAGGAGACAGAGCTGGATGCGAACTTGAGCGGTCAGCGTGTGTGACCTAACCACCCACCAGCTGGGCTCCACCTTTGCAGAGGCCTCGGGAAGCAGGCGGTAAGTCCTTATATGTAGGAGGAGATGGGGCTCAGAGGGTCTGAGCAGCATGGACTGTCAGAGCTTCCTTTCAAAGGCTCAGTGACCCTGGGCTGGGGGTGGTGGTGGTGGTGCTGGCAGGGCCCCAGCCGCCCCCCTCCCGCCCCTGTAGCTGCTGTGGTGGGCATGCACCTGCCTTAGAGCCCCACGTGGGCAAACAGGGGGGACCCAGCCACACCTACCGGGAGGCCCGACAGGCCCATCTCGCCTGCCTCCCCTTTGGGTCCGGCCGGCCCCACCTCTCCTGGGTCGCCTTTAGCTCCTTTGGGACCCTGTGAGCCACAAGAACAAGGGGTTGGTGAGGCTAGCAGGCTCCCTTCCCCACCCCAGCGGGTTCCCAGAGCTTAGTCCTGGCCAGGCCAGACCCCCACTTCTTTATCCTGGGCCCCTGGTCCAGGTAAATGCAATGAGGAGCCCGAATGAAGACGGGGCGCAGGGTGGGCCAGTGCGTGGAGAGGTGGGGTTCGGGGGACTGCGCAGCCCCTGAGGGGGCACTTACGGGGCTTGGGGTCAACCCTGCGCTCACATCTCAGAAGCTGGTGGTGGGAGTCCCCAAACCCCCCGTACAACCCATCATCCACTCAGTGCCCCTTCTGGCCACTCATTCCCTCTCTCAACCAATCACATACTGTCCAAGGTGGGCACACTAGGGACCCAGCACTAAAGACACTCCCGGCGACGCCCCTGGCACTGTGGTGTGTCAGTAGGATCACACGCAGATATACACTTACAGGGACACTAAGAGTACTGATAGCAATGGTAACGACATTAGCTACCACTCGAAGACTCTGCTATGTTGTGCCAGGCACCCACCCCGCTCTGTTTTCCACACACAGAATTAGTTACCTCTCACAGCTGTTACCACCCTCACCTCCGGGCGAGGAGCCGAAACGAGGCTGCTGGAAAATGAGCAGCTTGCCTGAGGCCTAAGGGCAGACTCAGGACATGCACACAGGCAGCACACTCTGTAATGTGGCCCCTCTCTAGCTCTGTACACACACACACACACGTGCATTCATGCACACATGGACACACACACACATAACATGCACGAACACAGGCACACACGAAGCCCAACACTAGGCACCAGCATTGCCAACCAAATAAAAAGGCCCAGAGACCTTCTCTCCATCGATTCCCGGGGCACCAGGCAGTCCCAGCTCCCCCTAGGAGGGAATAGAAAGCAAGGGGGGTTACGGTGTCCTGTGGTCCTGGAGAGGGACTTATGGCTGGGCTGCCCCCCACCCCCCACCGCCGGTTCAGCACAGTGTCCCTGGGTCGGGTCCCTGGAGTTAGTCAGGTCCAGGATGGTGGCCACTGGGTGCCCCGCCGCGTGCCAGGCATTGCCCCCCTGCTCTTCTTGTTTCCTCAGCTCCAATGAGC